ACAGAGTTGGAAGGGACCTTAGAGATCATCTAGTCGAGCTCCCATGCTCAAACAGGATGAGATGGGATTTACAGAGTTGGAAGGGACCTTAGAGATCATCTAGTCGAGCTCCCATGCTCAAACAGGATGAGATGGGATTTACAGAGTTGGAAGGGACCTTAGAGATCATCTAGTCGAGCTCCCATGCTCAAACAGGATGAGATGGGATTTACAGAGTTGGAAGGGACATTGATGGTCATCTAGTCCAGCCCCCGTGCTCAAGCAGGATGAGATGGGATTAACGGATTTGGAAGGGACCTTGGAGGTCATCTAGTCCAGCCCCCCTTCTCAAGCAAAGTTAGATGAGATGGGATTTACAGAGTTGGAAGGGACCTTAGAGGTCATCTAGTCCAGCCCCCATGCTCAAGCAGGATGAGATGGGATTAACAGAGTTGGAAGGGACCTTGGAGGTCATCTAGTCCAGTTCCCATGTTCAAGAAGGGTGAGATGGGATGAAATTAGCAGAGTTGGAAGGGACCTTGGAGGTCATCTAGTCCAGCCCCCATGCTCAAACAGGATGAGATGGGATTTACAGTGTTGGAAGGGATCTTGGAGGTCATCTAGTCCAGCCCCAATGTTCAAGCAGGATGAGATGGGATTAACGGAGTTGGAAGGGACCTTGGAGATCATCTAGTCCAGCCCCCATGCTCAATCAGGGTGAGATGGGATTAACGAGAATAAGGGAGTTGGAAGGGATCTTGGAGGTCATCTAGTCCAGCCCCGATGCTCAGTCAGGTTGAGATGAAATTAACGGACTTGGAAGAGACCTTAGAGATCATCTAATCCAACCCCCCCCCCCCGCCCGTGCCTCTTTGATTTAACTTTTCCTTCCGCAAGGAAGACGCTTGTGTGACCCGCCGGGGATGGCATCTCCCTCCGAGGACCCCCCACCCAAGCCGGCCCCTGCCAAGCCCCTCACGGACCTGGACTTCCATTCTGGGGTGCAGATTGCGGAGCTGAACCAACTCATCCAGGAACACCAAGCCAGGAGCCCTGACGGCAGGAAGGACCCCGAATTGTTCCAGGCCAAAGATCTTGTTTTCTCGCTGCTGGGTGAGTTAACAGAGAGCAGATCATCTGAGTTGGAAGGGACCATGTAGGTCATCTAGTCCAACCCCCCGCCCAAGAGGGAGAGTTGGGGGAGTCACAGTGGGAAAGAAAGCACTTCAACCCCCCCCCCAAAAAGCCCCTCCTAGCCCAACCTCATCCAAATTCCCAACATAGTTAAAAATACAGGCAAGTCCTCGATTTACGACCACACAAGGAAGCCCCACATTCCTGGGGCTGCAGGAGACCGTCACTAAATGAACTGCTGTTAAGTCGAGGGCTACCCTGTATCCCACCTTCAGTTTCTTGGAAGCCCCTTCCTCAAACTGGACAGCTTAAAACCATCAACCCAGATTCCAATCCTGGTTTGTTTGGGGGCAGCTGTGTGAAATACCATGAAAGGAGGAGTTGGAGGATTTAGATTAGCTAGAAAGCAGGAAATGGTTGGATTTCTTGCTTTCTAGCTAACCTAAAAGCAGAGCTGAACCTTCCTTAGGACTGAAGCTTCTATTTTTCAGCGCAGACTCAGGTAGCAGATGGCAGAAAGATAGATCTCTGAATGAATCTGTGATTCTGCGAGCAACTCAATCTGCCTGCCTGCTCTGCCTGATCTTGGGTAAAAGTTGCTCTTTTTTAAAAATAAAATATTTACAAGTCACATGACCACCAAGCCACATCCACAAATTAGGCCAAGCTCACAGAACCCGTTGTTAAGAAATTTGGATCCCACCCCTGAGAAGTCTGCATGGACCTCTGAGGTGAGGTCTTTCTAGGCCGGGGTGGACTTCAATTCCCAGAATTCCCCAGCCCGGGTTAGCTACTTGGATCGGGATCGTATAGGTAGTTCTCAATATATGGCCACAATCAAGTCCAACTTTTCTCTGAGCTAAGTGAGACAAGTTCTGAAGTGAATGCTGCCCCATTTGAAGACCTTTCTTGCCCCCCGTTGTTAAGCCGATGCTAAGGGAGTCGCCTGGTTGTTAAGCAACCACCCTTGTAAAAAAAAAGGATTGGCAGAAGCTGGGGGAGGAGTCAAAAAAGGAATCAGCCTAGCATCTCTGTGTAGCCACAGGTGAACTAAGTCCAAACCTTGAATTCTGTGGACCCTTAAATCTAAGTCCTAGCAGGTGGCAACCATTAGCTGAGAATATTCCTGTGCAGGCTTTCAGTAATAAAGCATTTTAGTTAGAAGATTCCTGCACAGAGCCTTTCAGCAATAAATGAGTTTAATTAGAAGATTCCTGCACAGAGGCTTTCAGTAATAAAGCATTTTAGTTAGAAGATTCCTGCACAGAGGCTTTCAGCAATAAAGCATTTTAGTTAGAAGATTCCTGCGCTTAGGCTTTCAGCGATAAAGCATTTTAGTTAGAAGATTCCTGCACAGAGCCTTTCAGCAATAAAGCAGTTTAATTAGAAGATTCCTGTACAGACGCTTTCATCAATAAAGCAGATTAATTGGATTTTCATGTGTGGTCTCTTGCCCCTGATACCGCCAAAGGAGTGCCTTAGCTCGGCCGTGATTCCTTGCCCACCCCCTGCCTTGTTCTTCCCACAGCTCAGGTCCAACGAACGGATGGAAAATTGCCCCCGGTCAACCGCTACCTTCTTCTCTTTGGTGGGACGCACCAGGGCACAGTCCACATCAATGGCACCACCCTGTGCCCGCTTTCTCCCGGCAGTGACTACGATACCTGTTTCACGCTCCTGGTGCCAGTGCTGAATGTGGCCGGCGTGCCCGTCACATTGGATATGACGCAGAGCCCCCCTGGGCACGCCCGGATCAGCCTCCAGCCTTTCGACGCTCCCACCCAGCAACGCTGGTCTGAGTGCAGCTATGGGGACGAGACCTTCCTGTCCGCAGAACTGGTGTCTGAGTGGTTCTTCCGGGTGTTTTCCGCGGCGGCCAAAGATGTCCGGGTCGAGCTCCGTGGACGCGTCACCTCTGTGATCGTCTGCATTGGATCTTACCGTGTTCTCTATGACATCGTCCCTGTGGTGGCCTTTCAGGGGTGGCCCGAGGTGGCCCAGCCGTGGCTGAGCCAGGGTCACTTCTGGGATGGCAAACTGCGGGATGAAGATGTGACCGTTGGCTTCTACCTCTTCCCGTCTGCTTCTGGCTCGGATTGGTACCTCTCCTTTTCGGCGAGCGAGCTGCCCTTGTGGCGCGTCCTTCCTCTGCCGCTGTTGTGGTCCCTGCGAGCCACCACGGCTGCCCTCCCCTGGGCTGACCTGCAGGGCTTGGGTCCATACCACCTCTTCACCCTGGCCTTGTGGTCCTGTGAACGGCTGCCGAGCCGCTACCTAGCCGAGGAGGAGAACGCTGCGCATGCCCTCCTGGGTGTCCTCGATGATCTGTCCGCCAGCCTGGCCGAGGGACACCTGCCCAATTATTTCCTGCCTCAGTGGAACCTCCTGCAAGGTGTATCCCCTCGGGCCATGAAGCTCCTGGTGCGGGCCGTGGCCCAGGTGAGGGCCAACCCCTCCAAGTACCTCCGCCAGGCTGTGGAAGAGGCCAAGGAAGCTAAACGGCGGGCAAAGACGTATCGGCGCCAGCTGCCGACCCCCGGGGACCCTTAGCCATGGGGCTGCTTCAATGGGGATGGATCGTGAAGCAGCTCACCCTACCTGTTCTTCAGGTAGAAGGGGAGCGGTTCAGGAGGGTTGGGGGAATGCGTGCCAGGGCCATGGTGCCAAACTACGCAGGAGGAGATCTAATGGGCCACTCCGGCCCCTGCCAACCTCTGCCAATATCCCAGAATGTAACCCCAGTGTTCTTACCGAGCTCCACAAACATTACAAAATCTCTGATGTGAACTCAAAAGATTCCTGTGTTAGGAACCCTGGCAGCTCCGGTGAAAACCATTTCTCCTTTACCGCACGCCAGCCGGAAGATAAATAGTTGTCTGCCACACCTACTCACCTCCGCCCCTCTGCCCCTCTGTCTCTCTCTCTCTGACGGCTCCGTTTCCTCACCCCCCCCGGCGGCCGACAAGCCACAACAACCAGCTGGCTGGTGGCTGATGGGCATTGTGCAGGTGGCCCTTGACTTACGACCCCCCCCAACACTTCTGTCGTTAAGCGAGACGGTTGAGCGGGTTTTTTGCAATCTTTCTTGCCAAAGTTGCGAAGTCAATCACTGCGGTGGTTGACTCAGTAACACCATTGTTAAACCAATCCATTTTCCACGTTGAAAGTTGCTCATCAGAAAGTCAGGTGCCAAGCAGCGGAATTTTGATCACGCGACCAAAGGGGATAGTCATAAGTGTGAAAAATAGTCCTTAGTTGCTTTTTTCGGTGCCTTTGAATGGGCGCCAATGGAACAGGTGTAAATCCAGGACTAAATGCGAGAGGGTTATGTAGTTTATCCTCAATGCAAATCATATTTTTCCAAGGAGCCCTTGCCGATCTAGCCATTGATTATTGTAAATATTTTCAAAACAGAATGCTGACAAAACAATATTTTATTTCTTAGTGAAAAGAAATTGAACAAGAGAGACACTTGTGGCTCGGAAAAGAGCCCTTGGCGAGCCTTGATCAACTCTATTTTGCATTTATCTTTGTCGAAATCCAGAATAAAGATTTGTTGGCCACAAACGGTGTTTTGTGTGGGTCATTTCGTGGGAAAACTATGAGAAAGTGGTTGTGGTTCACCGGCAGCCGGTGCAGACGGCAGCGGAATCGGACAGTGGGGAAGAACGGGGACCAGTCCGGGAGTCTGGGGAGGACCTGGACGAGGATCTTGCGTCCGATGCAGAGATGGGACCAGGACCATCTGGGAGTTGTGTGGTGACTTGAGAGCCTCCAATAGCTGGCATCAGCGAGGCAGAGGAACAGGGGGAGCCTGTTCCCAGTGTGTGTGTGCACAGAGCTGCCAGAAGGCGAGACCAGCTGAGACAAAAGAGGCGACTCAGGAGTAAGGCTGGGAAGTGATTTCCCCTCGCATAAGGGATAAAAGTCAGGCCAAGATGATGAACTCTTTGCAGGAAGCAAGGTAGTTCTATAGATTCTGAGTCCCTCTTGAAGCTTTGTGTACTCTGGTCGGCTTTTTCTGGTGCATCGGTTGGTTTCTGTTATAGTTCATTGGATACTTCTGTTTTTGGTAGCATTGCACACCACTGAAAGGTGTGTGCTTATCTCAGGGAACCTTTTTTTTGGCTGGGAATGAAAGTAATTCCCAGCGTTGCAATAAAAAACAGGTTTTGCTTTGAAAACAAGTTTGTGTTTCTTTATGTTTGACGAAGCCTGGGTCAGAACAGATCCCAGGAAGGGGACAGGAGAGGTGAAAAAAAAAGGCGGGGGGGCAGGACGCTATTAACTAAAGGCATGTCTCAAGCTTGGCCCCTTGTAAGATGTGGACTTCAACTCCCAGAATTCCTTTGCACGAAGGCATTCCTTTTGATGTATACACAGCAGGGGTGGGGGGAAAAGGATTTAACAACCTGTTCTCTGCCCGGGTGCTGGGTGGGCGTGGCCTAGTCGGCCTCCTGCACCATTCCTGGGCTCCTGAGGCTCTCTGGTGGCTGAAAACAGGCCCGAAAAAAATGGCCTCCTGGAAGTTCTGGAACTTCCAAGAGGCCTGTCTTTCATCGTACCCAAGCCTCTGCAACTTACCTGCAATGGGGACACCTGGCAGGGGAGCATTGGGCGGGGCCAGCCAGGGATGCGATTTGCCAGTTCGTTGAACCAGCTGTAAAATTAATAACCTGTTCTCCCAAACCAGTGCGAACCCGTTAGCAGCCACACCCCATGTATATAACCAGTAAAAAAGCCTCTGCAGGCCGAATAGGCCCGTTTCACTAGTAACAGGAAGTAACAAAACGGGCCTATTTGGCCAACAGAGGCTTTCCTCAGGCCTCTGGGAGGCCGAAAAAGCCCTTAAACCAGGCCTCACAGTTGATTTTCGGCTGGCTTGAGGCCTTTTGTGGCCTCCCAGAGGCTTGAAAAAAGCCTCTGCAGGCCAAATAGGCCCATTCCATCACTTCCCGTTAATCCCAGAATAACGCAACGGTCGTTAAGTGTGGAAAAAAAGGCCCTGATTCGCTTGTTTCAGCGCAGTCGCTGGTCCCTCAACGAACCGTCGTAAGTCGAGGAGGGCCTGTAATGTCGCCTTTTCCTCTGCTGTCCACCAGGGAGCGCCAAACACTCATTTGAACTAACTCCACCCCCTTTTTGTTTGTGCATAAACAGAATCACGAAGTTGAAAAGGACTTTTGAGGTCTTCTAGACCAACCCTCTGCTCAGACAGACCCTACATTGTTTCAGAAAAAACTGCCTTCCAAAAGGCAGAAACTGCCTTCTTATAAAGCAGAATAACGGAGTTGAAAGGGACTTTTGAGGTCTTCTAGACCAGCCCCCTCCCGCTCAGGCAGGAGAACCGTGTATTGTTTCGGGAATAAAAACAGCTTCCAATTTCTTCTTACAAAACAGAATAACAGAGTGGGAAGGGGCTTAGAGGCCCCCGCCTGTGCAAAACCAAGGCCCCGCCCTCACACCTTGGCTTATGCAGCAACCACACACCCCGTTGTGCCATTGTGGGTCTTCTTGACACAGCAGAAGAGGAAGGGGACTGGCTCGCAACCGTGCCAACCTCCGCATGGTGAAATTTGGTTGCTGGATGCGCTGGAAGGAGAGACCAAGAGAATGGTTGGGGGGGGGAGGAGGAAGGAGGAGCCCCTCACCGGCCCCTGAATCTTCCCTGGGCGGCCTCCCTCGCAGGGTTGTTGTTGGGGGGGGAAGAAGGGAGCAAGGAGCCTTGGGTTCTTGGAGGAAAGATGGAAGGAAGGAAAGAAGGAAGAAGAGAGAAGGGAGGGAGAGAGGAGGAAGGAAGGAAAGAAAGAAAGAAGGAAGGAGAGGAGGGAGGGAGAAAAGGAAAGAAAGGAAAGAAGGAAAAGAAAAGGAAGGATAGAAGGGAGGGAGGGTGAAAAATGAAGGGAGGAAGGAGAGAGAAAAATAAGTATAGAAAGGGTGGGGGAAGGAAAGAAGGAAGAGAGAAAAGGAGGGATAGAAGTGAGGGAGGGAGAAAAGGGAAGGAAGGGAAGGAAGGAAGGAAGACAAGTGAGAGGGAGGAAAGGAAGGAAAGAAAGGAAGGACAGAGAGGGAAGGCAGGCAGGCAAGAAGGAAGGAAGGAAGGAAGGAAGGAAGGAAGGAAGGAAGGAAGGAAGGAAGGAAGGAAGGAAGGAAGGAAAGAAGAAAGGAAAGAGAAAAGCAAAGATAGAAGGGAGGGAGAGAGGAGGAAGGAAGGAAGAAAGAAGAAAAGAGAAAAGGAAGGAGAGAAGGGAGGCAGGGAGAAGAAGGAAGGAAGGAAGGAAAGGAAAGAAGGAAGAGAGAAAAAGGATAGAAGGGCAGGAGGGAGAAAAGGGAAGGAAGGAAAGGAGACAGAAAAGGAACGATAAAGTGAGGGCAAGAAAGGAAGGAAAGGGAGGAAGAGAAGTGAGAGAGGAAGGAAAGGAAGGGAAGAAGGGAAGGACAGAGGGAGGGAAGGCAGGTAGGCAGGAAGGAAGGAAAGAACAAAAGAAGGAAGAAGAGAGAAAAGAAAAGATAGAAGGGGCGGAGAAGAAAGGAAGGAGAGAGAAAAATAAGGATAGAAAGGAGGGAGGGAGAAAAAGGAAGGGAGGAAAGGAGAGGAGTGAGAGAGGGAGGAAAGGAAGAGAAGAAGGGAAGGACAGAGGCAGTCCGGCCAGGAAGGAAGGAAGGAAAAGGAGGGAGGGAGATCAATTGTGGTCGCAACTCAAGGACTACCAGCGTTCACCTCTCACACACACACTCATTAGCAAGAAGAAGACCCCTGCTCCTCAGCCCCCACACCCAGACCCATCCTCCTCAGCCTGGAGGTGGCCTGGCAGCCACGCTGGGCTACAAAGCCATTAGCTAATGGGCTTGGCAAGGCGCCTCCCTCAGTTTTATTT